ATTTAACAACTATAATTTGTTTTAAACTTGGAAATTTAAGACTTAAACAATATTTAATTTGCGTTATTTCATTGGTTAACTATGAGACAGAAAATTTAAAAAATAAACATTGAAATACTCATTATCCAAAAATGTTCAAAAATCTCAGAAATTTTAGTAGAACACTATCAGTTGTATTCAAGCAATCAGCAGTACCATCCAAATTTCTTAGAACATAAAGAAAGAATAGAAACATCAAAAATTAACATAGAAGATACTGCTGGTCCACTAAACACTGTTATAACACTTGATGAATTAAATGAAAGTCTTAATAACCTCAGAAATACCTCACCTGGACCTGATGACATACCACCAATTTTCATCGAAAAACTACCTATTAGCGCGAAGGTTACTTTAGTATAGACCTTCAACAAAATTTATTCGACCCATAAATTTCCATCTGTCTGGCGCGAAACAATTATAATACCATTTTTAAACGACAATAAATCAAAAAACTTATTTTCTTCGTATCGACCAATATCTCTTACCTGTAGCATCTGCAAAATAATGGAAAAGATTCTAAGCAAAAGATTAAAATGGTACTTAGAAAAGAAAAATCTCCTTACATGCATCCAAAGTGGGTACCGATCAGAACGGTCTACAATAGATAATATTATAGCATTAGAATCTGAAATACACGAAGCTTTTATACATAAACAAAAATTAATAGCAATTTTCTTTGACATCACAAAAGCATTTGACACCACGTGGACATATCACATCTTAAAAACAATGAAAAGTTGGAAAATAGATGGCAAATTCTTAGCCTTCGCCAAAAACTTCCTGGAGAACAGAAGTATAAAAGTTAAAACAAACGGAGTCATGTCTACTAAGAAATCACTGGAAAATGGTATCCCTCAAGGATCTGTATTAAGCCCCCTGCTGTTTTTAATAGCAATCAACAACCTATCTCACCATTTTATGCTTCCAGTAAAAGCAAACCTTTACGCCGATGATCTTGTAATATATATGAGAAGTAAAAACCTAAAATCAGCTGCATCAATATTACAAAATACACTAAATAAATTAGAAGGGTGGTCTTTAGATATGAGATTTTCAACCGAAAAAACTAAAGTAATAATATTTGACAAAAGGAAAACACAACACCACTTAAATTTAAAACTAAACGGAAATACTCTTATAACAATCAACGAAATCAAATTTTTGGGAATGACATTCGACTCTCAACTCAAATGAACATCGCACATAAATGAACTAATTAAATCATGCCAACAGAGAATAAATCTTCTAAAAGTTTTTTCCAATCACAAAAGGGCGCAGACACAACTATACTACGATTATATAAAGCTCTAATCAGAAGCAAACTTGATTACGGATGTATATGCTACGAAACTGCTACTAAAAGTCAATTGAACAAACGACTATCCAATCCACAACATTACGCTTAGTTTTCGGAGTTTTCAGAACCACGCCAATTAGCAGCCTTCAAGTCCTAGCAGGAGAACCACCATTAACTCTCAGAAGACAATATCTTTCAATGTGTTGTGCTACTAAATATCTCAGTGCAAATGAGAACCCGTTTATAACAAGCCTAATAAGAAGCAACCCTCCAAATCTGTACTCAAATTATTGCCCTAGAAACTTACCTTTCAATGAACGAATAAATCGATTTGAATTCGATATACATCAATTGAGAGCTCCTTCTACAAACAGATGCCAGTCTCCTCCCTGGAAAGTTCAAATACAAAAAGTAGATTTGACCTTACTTAAGTATCCCAAACATTCACACAATCCTTCTGAAATAAAACAACAATTCCGGTCTACCATCTCCAGGTACCCTGATTTCAAACTAATTTTTACTGATGCCTTTAAAAGCAGTAATGGAGTAGCTGCTGCAGCTATTTTTGAAGACAACACCTCTGTCACCCGTCTAGAAAAGGAGTGTAGTATACATACTGGAGAACTGCAAGCAATCTTCAACGCACTGAACCAATGTACCAGGAATAATATAAATTTTCTTATCATATCAGATTCTCAGAGTGCCTTAAATGGTGTCAAGCAGATGTATCCTACTCATGCCAATTTAGACTAATAAAAGACATGCTATACAATCGTAGAGGTGTGCTTATTAGTTCTTTTAGACGAACTAGTTCAACAGAACTATTTCACAAAAATGAAATAAATGAATGAAATAAGGTAGGAAAAATGAAATAGTTCAATGAACTAGTTCGCGAAAGAACTATTTGTAGGACCGACATCGAAATCCAACCCTAACAGAACTGGTTGCCAGATGTCTTGTCTCAATCATCACACAAGCTCGGCGCTGGCCGCCCGTTTACTTCGGTTTTCAGTCAGTCTTTCACTAGTTCACTACCGTACAAGTAGCTCGTTAGTTTTTATTTAAAAAAAAATTATTAAGATTTGTTTTTTATTAACCGTTTTAAATATAAATATGGTTCAAGTATGATTTATTTTTATATTTACGTATATTTAAAGTAATATGCATTTATAATTAGGTTATTTCTAAAAGAACCTTTACAAAAAAAATCAGTGAATTTTCTAGGAACATTAAATAACATTGGCGGTCAGATAGCTCAGCGGGCCGTGCGGCTGCCTCTCATTCGCTTCACTGTCGAATGGTTCAGTGGATGTGGGTCGAGCCCCAGCTCGGTGTACGGAAAACAAAAAGTCTAACGCAGCAGTTTAAAATTCTAGATGAATCTGCGGCTTAGACTAGGATATGCTGGGATCTGATCGGCCTATGGTGGAGCAGTACGGCAAGAGATAAGGGCTTGCGGCTCGGTGATACTCCTCCATAGATCCCTACCGGACAGGCGTAACGCCTAAAAAAAACCGGATAATATATATATATATATATATTATATATTATATATATATATATATATATATATATATATATATATATAATATATATATTAAATAACACATTTTCATTCTCACTTTTACATAAAATTATATTTTATGTAAATGCCTTAATCATTTTAACCACAACTAAAATTTTTATTTCAAAATTAAAATACAAGAAATAATACAGAATGGCAACATCCAAGCCAATACATGGGCATAAGATCCAAACCATTATGACATTAAGATAAGACCTTATGGTATTGTCACATTCATAAGAATTATGAATCTGTTATCTCAGGCCAATCGGCATTTTTTTTAAACTAGTTAGTCCATCCATTCACAAAATATATGTTCTAATTCATTCATTCATTATTTTCTTCTTTAGAAGTCGAGACATAATTTATAATGCTCGTTCGCAGTGAACTAGTTCTATGAAAATTAATAAACTAGTTCAGTTGAAAGAATCGTTTATTAGAACTATTTCGATGGTGAACTACACATCCCTAATACAATGCCCAAACACATGGTAAAAACATAACATTTTTATGGGTACCATCCCATGTTGGGATAAAGGGAAATGAAGCAGCTGATAAAGCAGCAACAGAAACTATCAATAACATGACAATTCCTATTATGCAAAACATACCAATTTCAGACCAAAAAAACATTAATAAAAACTTACATTAACAAAACCTGGCAACAAAAATAGAACCAAACAGAAGAAAAATTAAAAAATATCAAACCAGATGTTAGTTCTGCTTTACTACCGCTCCCAGCTCAAAGACATGACCAAGTAATTATTAACAGACTACGGCTAGGTCATACAAAATTTACACATGGATACATCATCTCCAAGGACCCTCAGCCGATTTGCCACACCTCTCAAATACCATTTTCAGTACAACACATAATGATAGACTATCCAGTGTACTCAACAGCAAGATCGACAGCAAAAATAAAACACAATTTGAAAGAAACTCTAAAAGAAGACATCAGTAATACAATAAATTTTATCAAAAATTGTAAACTGTATAACAAACTGTAACATAACATAAAATATTTGTATTTCAAAACTGTTATGTAAATTTTAATAATATACTAAGTGTAACTTTTCTAAAATAAAGATATACCACCTGCTAATAACCCTAGGGGTTGATGCGGTAAAAAAAATGTTCAAACTAAGTTTGAAAAAGTTACTAATTTCACGAATTTTAAACACTGTGAAACTATGGCTGAAAATTGGAAAAAATGTATTGAAATGTATATCGGAATCTGAGGAATAATATGAGGTTATGATTTAATACCAAACCTCGACACAAGCCCCCCTTACGGATATTTTTTTAACTGACTTATGGCATGTGATCTATAGTACAAATGCTCACTATATTTTGTCGCATTTGTTTTTATATTGTTAAAGTTATTTATTAAATAAAAAACTAGTATAAAAAGTTGTATTAAGTAATTGATTTAATTACATTAAAAAAAATCATTAATTTTTTTGATATTAAACTTCTTACGTGCAAGATAATTAAAAAGTTCGAATTCGAAAAATTCTATTGTGATTCGATAAGTAATAAATGATTGTTTGTATTTTTTTATACTTTTTTAAATAAGTATTTTTTAAATTTTTATACATATATTAATCAAATTTTTATTGCATTCCTCACCTTCGTTGAAATGATACTCGTGTTCACCAAGATCGAAAACGACCGAGAAACGAGTTTCGAATGATTTTGTATGGAATCTGAATAAAACTCCCGGAGACGAGGTGAGTACAATGACGTCTGGGCAACAGATACTCAGAGACCTTTGCCGACCTCAGCGACCTCGTCCTTCGTGTTCAGCGACCTCGAAAACCCGCGAGAAATAAGTTTCGAATGATTTTATATGAAATTTGCAAAAAAACTCCCGTAGACGAGGTTGATACCATCCGCCCTGGGTATCAGATACACCGAGTAGCAAAATTGGATGTATTTTATTCAATATTTGCGGAGTTGCAAATCGAATGCACAACATTGCATCTCAATCTGTTTACTGTGCCGATTTTCCAAGGTTGGTCCGATTTTTGTGCTTCATTGCTTACTTGTAATCTAATAATTATCAAAATAATAAATGATATCTTTTTCTTCTTGATGTGCCTATCCCTTACGAATGTTGGCGATCATCATGGCAATTTTTATCTTATCTGCAACAGCGCGAAAAAGATGCACAGATGTTGTATTGAACCAGATTCTGAGGTTCTTTAACCAAGATGTTATTCTTCTTCCTGGACCTTCTTTTTCAAATATTTTTCCTTGTAGGATGGCTTGAAGGTGAGCATATCTGGATTCGTTTCGCATAATACGTCCGAAGAATCGTAACTTTCGAGATTTAATGGTGGTCAGAACTTCTCGGTTCTTATTCATGCTTCTGAGGACCTCCTCATTTATGACTTGGTCAGTCTACGGGATCTTAAGTATTCTCCGATATAGCCACATCACAAATGCTTCCAGTTTTCTACACATATCTTTGTTCAAGGTCCAAGATTTAATACCATAAAAAATGGCGGAGAAGACGTAGCTTCGCAGCATTCTTACTTTTGTATCAATGAAGAGGTTGTGACTCTTGAAAAAGGCCCCCATCCGATTAAAGGAGTATCTAGCTTTTTCGATGCGTGCTCTAATCTCCTGGTTGTTGGTCCATTCTTCATTTATTATGGTGCCGAGGTAGTTGTAGTGAGTCACTCTTTCTACAAGGTATTGGTTGACGTAGAGTTGATCTTCTGTTATCCTTTTCTTGATAATTGTCATAAGCTTTGTTTTCTTGACGTTTATATTGAGTCCATATTGTTGACTAATACGTGATTTTGTTCATAAGAACTTTCAGGTCTTCTAATTTGTCCCCAAATACTATGGTGTCATCTGCATATCTGATGTTAAGCCGGTAACGATTTAGTAGCATACCTTTTTCAGTTTCGTGCAAAGCTTCAATAAATATTCTTTCAGAGTACAGATTGAATATTAGAGGAGACAAAATACAGCCTTGCCTCTCTCCACGCATGATTTTCACATAGTTAGGTGTTCACATTCAACTCTGAAATTTGCTGTCCGATTCCAGTAAAGATTTCTAATTATTTTCATATCTTGGTTGTTAATTTCTGCTTCTTTTACTATTTGCATTATCAGTTGAAGTCTCTGCATCTCTGTAATAAGACTTGACTGAGGACAAAGCCTCTCTAGTACCAACAGCATTTGTAAAACCGAACTGGTTGGGGAAAATTTGACTTTCACACAGCTTGTAGATTCTCTTATGAATTGTCTTTAGGAACAATTTTAGGAGATGACTCACGAGGCTTATAGTACGCTAATCTTCGCATTTTTTGACACTTGTTTTTTTTTGAAGTGCCATACACTCAGATTTCAGCCATACTGTTGGTATTTCTCCAGAGTTGTATATATTGTTAAATATCTTTGCGATTATTGCTTTTGATTCGTTGTTTATTAGTTTGGGTAGTTTTGCTTGTATATTATCAGGGCCTGTCGCTTTGCCATCCTTTAACTGTATTATTCCTGCTGTAATATTCTTGGTCCATCATTTACCTCTTCTTTTAGCTCAAAGGTGTTATCTCTTTGGTCTTCAAATAGTGTTTCTAAATATTAGTCCCACTGTGAGTTCTTTAACGTTCGTATGTACATTGTGACTATCGTACTTTGACCGCCGAGTCTTAATTTCTTCGCATTTTTCCCTTGGTTCTTTTTCTTTCGCTTCTCTGATTTTCATTCTTAATAATATATTTATGGTTTTATATTTGTCTGGGTCATTTTTGGCTGCTTTTCTCTCGTCCATTAGTTTCACGATCTCATCTGTCATCCATAGTTTTTTTCTTCATTAATCTATCTGTCTTTAAGAGTTTATCTTTTACATTTTACACTATTTCTGTAATATGTTTGATCGTTTGTTCTTCGTTCGGTTCGTCCGTAATTACAGTTACTTGCTCGTTTAATGTATCTTGGACTGTCATCTTCGTATCGATGTCTTTCAGCATACGTAGGTTGTATGATTGTGCTTTCCTTTTCTGCATTGTTTTGATTTTGACTCGAAATACTTACACCAGTGGAACGTGATCTGTCTTCAACTGTGCTCCAGGATAAGTCTTGACATATGTAAAGTTCTTTCGGAATCTTTTATTTACTAAAATGTAGTCTATTTGATTCCTAATAATTCTCCCGGGTCTGTGTTTAGGTGACTTCCACGTGTACAAGTTGCGAGGTGGTAATTGGAAGAATATGTTGGTGAAAACTAGTTCTGAGTCTCGAATTTTTCTAGGAGATCTCCTCTCTTGTTTCTGACTCTAAGTCAATGTACTCCAATGTATTGTGTCTTATCTCCAGCTCCAATTTTCAGGAGGAATTTTCTGTATGACACTGTTGATGTTCTGATAGAACTCAATTGCTTCTTCCTCCCCTTTGTCTGCAGTGGGAGCATTGACTTGGATGATGTTTATATTATTAGGGCTGGCTTCTACATGTAGTAACATCACTCTCTCTGATATTGGTGTAAAGTTAATAACATATTTGGCAACCTTGGGTAATACGATTATTCTGACTCCATATTCATGTGATCCATCACTTTTTCCCGAGTAATATTCCTTGTGATCTACTATTTGTATTTCTTCAGAATCTGGCCATCCAATTTCTGCTATTTCCATGATTTCAATATGCATTTTCTTCATCTCTTGTATTGCATTGTGGATTTTTTTGCTTTGTATAAAGTTTTGACATTCCATGTGCAGATCTTGATATTCATTCTGCACTTCAATTTATTATCTTTCGGTAAACTCAAAACTGTCCTCCTCGGAGACCCGATCGAAGGACTTTTTTCGGAATTTATTTTAGTATTGAGCATTGCCATGACTGATTGACTCAAAACTGTCCTCCTCGGAGACCCGATCGAAGGACTTACTCCGGATTTTATTTTAGTATTGAGCATTGCCATGACTGATTGACTAGAGCGTATAGCTGTGAAACTTTAATGAAGTGTGTTCCCTACTTGTACTTCCCCATCATTATTCCGATGATCAAATTTTTGGTTCATCCGTCTTCGAGGCCGATTTCACAACCTCAGGGCAAAAGGATGCTCTACCACTTAACTCATCCGCCCGAAGCTGTTGATCAGTAAGTGGGGGATTCCTTATACCGAAAATCGCTCGGTGAATGACTCGTCACACTGAATGACTCACCACACTGAAGAGTATGAGCAGAAGTTCTCTGAGTATGAGGTAGAAGGAAATATAGTAACTCGTCTGCCTTCGGAAACCTAATAGCCATTCAGGGTCGGAAGAAACAAGAGTTAGTCAAGAGAGGCTAATAGGACAGATTAAAGACATATCACTCAAGACAAGTTGAAAAAGAGTAATTTGTGAAGGCCCTTATGATGCGCCAGGTAGGTACGTTTCATAATCATATGAGTATTAATGCACCTTGCATTAGCGCTCATACCTCGGGGTGTTGACTACAGACTTTATGGCTCGTTCAGCATGTATGGTAAGGTGCGCGTCATTTTTTACAATGGAGACACTCCAACTCCATGGCCTGGATGATATAATGAACATAAAATAGCCTAATTTGTAACTGAAAGTGAGTTTAATGTCTCGGATATCGTCACACATGATTATATAAATGATTTGATCCTTTCAGTCTCCTGATTTTTACTAAACTTTACCTTGATTTTTAAAAGTTGTCGATTTTTTGATATATTGACGTTAATAGCTAAGGTTATTTAAAAATATTTCATTCTCAAATTCTCTAATTTGTTAATATACAAAAATAGCCATATAAAATAATCGTAGACGAAAAGACGATATTTATAATTTAATTTTTATTTTACTTTATTATATTGTAATATCACTGAAATCTTTTTTAGCTGGAAAATATTGTGACTAATAATGAAGAATTCCAAGATAACCGAAGTATACGATCATTAAAAATTATTGAACATAACCTTCAATGGTCAGTAATTAATAGTGATAAGATTTATAGTATTTTGGAGCATTTTCCATTGAGTGGGACTTTGAGTTTTAAATGTAATTATTATACAGTGATTGCAGCTATTATTTTTATACATTTTATTTTTAAATAAATAAAAGGAGTCATAAATATTATTACCGTATATTTTACTGTTAGTAGTTTTTATTAGAATTTATTAAGATAAATAAGATCGAATCATCAGTACCGTGTCGATAGCCCTAGAAGACGGTTTGTTTTGATATTGCTTTCGGTGCGAGTTTGAAAGTGACCGCTATTGTGTTATTTTGTGAATTTGTTTAGTGCAAATTAGGTCCATAATTTGGTATTCCAAAAAATCTAATTATGGAAGAAGACGCTATTACAGGTTATAGACCGCCCGATAAATTACATTCTGAAAAAACTAACATGGATGATAACAGGTCTGTAAATACTTTAATTGATTTTAAAAACCGCTATAAACCCAGCGATAAGGCTCCATTCTTTGTATATATTGAACACAAAAATAAAAATATCGGTAGGTTAGTTCCAATGAAGGTAGGACATTTTTATTAAATGATTGGTTCATTAAAAATGATGTACTTGATATAAAAACAGTTGGCATTAATAGGGTAAAAGTCATTTTTAAAACTTATTCTATAGCAAATAAAATAATTAATCATGATTTAATAATTAAAAATTATCTTATAGCTTATATTCCAAAATTTTATACACATAGAAAGGGCATAGTTCGTATGGTCGATACTTTCTTTTCGGAGAATTATTTAAAGAATGCGATAATATCCGAGAGACAAGTGGTAAATGTTCAAAGGATGCAACGGAAAATAACGAACAACGATGGCAACTCAATTAGTACCCAGACAAATGATAATTGTAGAATTTTTGGGCAACGAGGTTCCACAAAACATAATAATTAATTTATGCAATGTTTCAGTAGATCCATATATACATCCGGTAGTGCAATGCTATAAATGTCTCAGATATGGTCACTCGTCAAAACAATGTAAATCTAAAGACAGTGTGGGGGTTTAAACAAAATAATGTACTATTACGAATTAATAGTACTAAGATTAATACCAGCTATTCCTTCGATAGCTCTGGCAAGATAAATGAACTTTCACTCATAGGTGCAAATAACAAATAATATAAAATTTAAATGGTTGCAAAAACAATCAAAAAACAAACAAAGGTATTAAACTAGGTGAACTTACCGAACCGCTAATTAGGTACCATAATTCACTACTATAAAACCAACCGATTTCGATGCATCGACGCACTCGCGAGGGTTGTGTCTTGCGTCTATTCTGCTCAACGACTTAAGCGCTTGTGTCCTACGGGATGCATAGCATACCCGAACGGTAACGAATAGGGATCGAAGGTATACAGGGGGAGGACAAAATGTCTTGATTAATTATATACAACCATATTTGAATTTAAACATTCTCCCCCCTTTAAAGGCCATAAGGTCTTTAAAAAACAAAACGAATTCTAAATACTATCATTACTTAAACAATCAAAACGATAATTACTACAACACAATTCCTATACAAATATTAAACAAATATTCAAAACTTAAACTAAAAAATAAAAAAATTAAAATTAAAATGGTGGTTTTGTCGTGGTTCTATTCATAAAAGCCGAACAAAACAAAATCAGTAAAAAAAATGCTGACCATTTAATCTTCATCTATCGGCACGGGACAGATTCGGACAAGAGGCCGTTTTAAGGTTCCGGTAATCGTACGCACGGTAGCCACTCGAGCTACACCGTCTTTACCCTCATGTAAATTCAACAAGACGCGCGAGAGGCCACTTACACGGAGCCTAAATTATCCTCCTTTAAAACAACTAA